TAATTAACACTAAAAAATTTTTTATGTTAAAATCTCTAAGACCACCCAATCACTCTCATCCATTATGCCAACGTGTCATTAAGAAACCTTAACTCTACAATGCTGTGTTCCTCGATACATGGGTCAATCTACATGAAGACACGATATCATGTATGAAACTGCCACTTGCTATTGACAATTTGTTGATGTGGTTTGATTATTTCTATTTCTATCTACTTGTTGGCGGGGGAAAATAATTAATACTTACTTGCCCCAAACCATAGCTATGCCGGACCCCTGATCTCGCGGGGCCATCCACACTTCCGAAAAACCGGAATATTCCGAAAGTTCCGGAGCGGTCCATACCCCTAGTCCACATCCCCCATATTCCCCCCCCCCCAAAAAAAAAAAAAAAAAAAAACACCTTTACTCCTACTTCTCAGTTAAAGCTTGTCAACCATGTGCAGGAGCCATGCTAATCTTCTCCTTCAAATTTAGCATGACCCTGCGCCAAGATGACACGCATTAATGGGAAAGTAGACCAAATAAAAACTAAATAACCCAGAAAGGAGGGGGAAGAGACGAGGAGGAAGACAAAAAGAGAGGACGACGAAAAAAAAAAAAATTGGCCCCACGTATTCCTTATTAAATAGTGTTTTTTCCGAAGGACCCCAACAACGCATCTGCAAGAGTCCAATATCTCAAGAGAAGTTCGACAAATTTCCTGCGAGAGTGAAGCAGGCCAGCAATATATGTTATGAATCCTAAGTCATGTCTGCTTTCTAACAGTTATGGGTCACAATTACAACTACGTAGCTCTCTCCTTTCTTTTGTTTCGTTTTCCTACGAGCAACGACCCGAAGGGCCTTGCTCCACTGATCACTACTTCCACAAAAGACAAAATATATGGCGCGATATAGTTCCATGTTCTTGCAGAAGTTTCATCCCTCTCTTTCTTAAAGTTTCTTTTGTTTCCTTTTCCTACGAGCAGTGGCCCTAACGGCCTTGCTGGGCCTTGCTCCACTCGTCACTACTGGCACAAAAGACAAAACATATGCGTATGGTTCCATGTTCTAGCAGAAGTTTCATTCCAACTCTTTCTTTTGTTTCCTCTTCCTACGAGCAGTGGCCCTAAGGGTTTTGCTCCACTCGTCACTACTTGAACAAAAGACAAAACATATGGCGGTGTATGGTTCCATGTTCTAGCAGAAGATTCATTATAGTTTTGCACATTTGGTGAGTAGTGGAGGGAAGCCCTGAAAAGCACGTGGTGAGTTGGCCTGCTACTGCCCAGAAACTCGCGTGATCAGTGGTCCCATAACTGCTGAAACACAAACCTTAACGTGAATCAACAACATATATACTTAGCGTGCCATGACCTTAGCATGGCTATGAGCATTACTTAGCTCATGGTGAGAAACCCTTGCTAATTATCTGCAGATCTGCAGGGGCCTCTCGGATAGCCCGCAAGGATTTTCTAATAAATTATAAGGAGCTATTTGTCTGCTCTCTCTCTGTCTCTCTCTCTCTCTCTCCTGTTCTCACACAACAGCGACTTTTTTTTTTTTTTTTTTTTTGCACATCAGTGACCACCGCACTGCTCCGGCTGCACCGCACACTTGTGCCGCAGGTAGGGAACAAAACCGAAGTTACCAAACCCCCTCGTAGACTTTCCAAACCTTTCAAATCCTTGGCGAGGGGGGTAAAAAATCAGGCAACATTTTTTTGGGGCGGCCCAGGGCGTGAACATACGCCATGGGCCACCCAAAAAAAATTGCCTGTTGGGCTGGGGCCCACATATCCGGACCGAGATCCGGACCCAGACCCCGGACCTCGGACCACGGACAGTCCTGATCCCTGTCCGGTGGTCCGGATCTTAGCCATGCCCCAAACCCGAAGACGTGTGCCAAAGGGCTCGCAATAGCCAGGTCCTCGACTTAGCTTGCTACCCCAAAACCCGAGGACACATGCCAAAGGGCTCGCAAGAGCCGGGTCCCCGACTGACCTTGCTACCCAAAAAACTGGAGACATGCCCGAGGGCTCACAAGAGCCAAATCCTCGACCAAACGCACTGAAGGTGTCAATTGAGCCTCTATATAGATAGGCAAGCTTGGATCTTTGTTGAATTCGTAATCATTTGCAATTTCATCTACTCGTACGCGGTTAATAATTTGGAGTTCTTCCCTGTAAAAAACTGGATAGTTCCACTCCAAGTTTGTTCATAAACCTCATGCTCTCTTCTCACCCGGGATTACAGTTTTTGCCACTTTCTGGGTTTTTTACGTGTTCCACGAAATTTATCATTTGCATTTCACATAGTGTAAAGTATGTTCATAAAACTTGTGCTCTCTTCTCACTCGGGATTACAGTTTTTTGGGGTTTTACACATTCCACTAAATTTATCATACTTATTTCGCATGGTGTCATCTGTTTTGTTCTTTTGATCTTTCAGTTTTGCGTCTCCAGTTTATATCGAGGGCTTGGGCATTAGCTCTAACTTAAATCACTTCCATGATTGAAATTGGACACTACTACTTGGCTGAAGTGATTCGTGGGGCCTCAGGTGTGAGGGTGTCTAAAGCTGTTCATGCAGTCCCCCAAGTCACCAGGTGGCTCTACCATATGTGGATACCTCCAATTTGCACTCCCATTCCAGTCTGTTCAGTTCTTTGATCTGGTCTCTCTAAAATTGAGTCTATTTTTCTTCTTCGATCCACCAATCTCCCATGCTGTTGGCTGAGTGATCCTCAAATTCATGCCACCGGCCCTGAAGGTCACCCCTGCGTCATCTTGGAAGGTCTTACGTCTGATGACATCTGCCAGTGGGTTGGCCAAAACCTCCTCTGGAATACCCCACACAACTAAAACAATCTATAGAATTGTAGCAACTAAATTCACAAACCTGCTAATCACACCCTCCTTGAGCTTCACATTCTGAAACAGTCTATAGCCATCAACGGATCTAGAGATCCCTTGGTCCTCCCCAAGTCGTGTTGATATCTCCTTTCCTCAGATTTCTATTTCTCTTCCATTTTCCAGGCTGCAAGTTCTGGGGTGCATCCTCCAAATATCTCGTCTTGCTTTTTCATCCTTTTCTTTATCTTTCGCGGTTTTCCTGTCTGACTACCCAAAAGCAATACACTCAGAAAATTCTTCTTTCTTCAAGACTTGAAAATCTTTGGTTACATGTGCATTCCTGGCACTGCTCTGTTCTACTGGGTTCGTTCCATGTGGTGCATGAAGGCCGTGCGGACGTCAAACTGCTGCTCGCATGCTCTCGACTTTCTCCACTTTCTTTGAGCCAGAGCAGTGACCTATTGCTTGCAGCTGTTCAGCGTTCTGCACTGACCTGCTTGAACTGTGGTTCGGTGACAGGAAAAAGAGGAGTGCTTCTCTCATGTCTTGATACCTCTCTCTCTCTCTCTCTCTCTCTCTCTCTCTCTCTCTCTCTCTCTCTCTCGGACACTAACTTCACATTAAGGACTCTCTCTCTCATGGACACCAACTTCGCATTAAGGACCGCACTGTTTTTAGCATCATGCGCCATGAGCAGGGGTTGTCATGCCGCATCCTGCCCCCCGCACCTCCAAACCCGCCCCCGCCCCCACTCCTTCACCCTCACCCCCACATTCCCCACCCGGCCCCACACCCACAGCTACCCCGGTCCCACCAGTGGTGGGTGGGGCACCGGGGTGGGGTCCGGGGTGGGGCCCAAGCTGGGATAGCGATTTCACCCCCAGACCCCTGCCGCGAGGATCCCCGACCCCCGCCCCCGCCAATCGACACCCACCCTCGCACCCTGCCCCCCGCACCTCCAACCCCGCCCCCGCTTCACCCCTACACCCCTACACCCCATTCCCCACCCCCCCGCCCCCTGCACCCTTGCCCACACACCCCCGCCCGCACCCCCACCGCCCCCATTTCACCCACCCACCAACCCCCACCCCTGCCATTTCACCCCGGTGTCAACCCCCACCCCCTCCCCTGCCCCCTCCCCTGGCCCTGCGCCCCCACACCCGCCCCTGCCACCACTCAATCCCCCCCTCCCCAGCTGTTGGCCCCGCACCCACAGCTAAACCAGTCCCCCCAGTGGTGAGTGTGGCACCGGGGGGGGATTCCAGGTGGAGCGCAAAACCCCGCCGGGGCTCCAGGGCAGGGGCTCGACAAACCCTGGCAACAGACCATCACCAGCCTGCTACCATTCACACCGGCAGCCACATAGCAGTTGATTTGCGCAGTTGATTTGCATTCATGATATATGCCAGCTGCACATGAATGCTCACAAACATCCTGCCATTCAAAATTGGACTTCAATGCCACATCATCACATACATGCTCGCAGACAACCACACACAAGCATACTTCCATCTGTCCCCTGATAAAACGTACAGTCGTTGTAGCTGCATTTGGCAGAACTTTCAGTCTAGATGTAGTTCTATTTGGGGGAAGACAATAGAGACTAGAACATAATGACGCATACATGTTTGTTCTTTCATTTGATCAGAATCCACAAAGGTCGAGTGCCATTGGCATGCAACTTGTACACAAAACCGAGTGGAACCCGAAAAAAAGGAAAAAACAAAGGAAACTTCAAAAAGGATGTAGATGGAAAGTCATTTAGAATCTGCATGTGCAAAGGTCAAATACCATGGTTATGATCCGGACGTCCTAATCGCAGTGCAGACGGCCTGCGTCTGAATGTCTGTGTCTGGCATCCGGTCCAAAGTGTCCAAAAAAGACTCCAAATCCATCCCCCAGCACCAGCCTCCAAAAAAAATCCTGCTTCAAAAAAAGTCTAAAATATCTAAATAAAAGTTATATTGCAGAATAATTTGTTTTGACTAACCGTCTCAAAATTCTTTGCCAAATCCAAGGAAAAAAATAAAAAGGGGAAAATTCCGAAAAACTAAAAAGGTAATTAAAAAAAAAAACATTTTTTTTGAAAAGGGTTTTTCAAAACCTGGACAGTCGGGAGCAGTCCAGACACTCGTCCACCCGAACGTCTGTCCTGGTCCGGTGTCCACGTCTGGCGTAAACGTGGTCATTACTCATGTATTAAAATACAGATGCATTGTTGTGTTGGGACGGCCCCTCTTCTGAGGAAAGAAGAGGCTGCTTTAACAAGGGAAAGAGAAGACCTAGAAAAAAGAAAAAAAAACAGTGTTCCGGTAGAGCCATTTTTCAGCTCAAAGAGAAGGCCAGTGTAACAAAGGGAAGCGCAGGAAGACCAAGGACATTGAAAATCCCCATGCATCTCACACAGACCATCGTTGTCAACTTGTCAGGATTGCAAAAGCGACTGAGACGTTCATAGCATTCCCATTCCCATTCCCATTCCCAACCACCTAAAACACCGTTTCTAATAGCCGAGTCCACGTATCACCCAAAGCACACAACATTCAGATATGAGTAGGACAGGTAAAAAAAAAAAAGCGAATGGATTCTTACAGTGTCTGAAGGTGGACGGGAAAGAAAGAAAAAAAAAAATCAGGGAGTTCAAAATTTTATACAGAGCTAACACAAACACACAACACCTCACCCTCTCCCTCTCTCTCTCTCTCTCTCTCTCACACACACACACACACACACACACACACACACACACACACACACACACACACACACACACACGCGCACACTCTGTTTCTCTCTCAAACACGCGCAGACAACACGGATGGATGGAAACATACGCAGAGATAAGGAAGAGAAGGACACAACTCTCGGGCAGATATACGGATCTAATAGGTCTTCTTGCAGATCCTAAATGCTTAATATATTGCTACGAGACTATCAAGAGGTAACACGACTCCTGGAAAGGCGCAACGTGCTTTTGATGGGTAGAGACTATCGGACCTTCAACCTGGAGAACAAAAAACTAGCAGCACAACTACACGATGGAAGACTACCCGACAGAGGAAATACTTCTCCCAACATTTTCTACTGACGACTACTCTTCAGAGCATGCCGATGTTTGGAGTCTTTGGGACAAAAAGACCATGTACATCGGGAGCGCATATGTACCGCAAGATGCACACTGGGCTTATGTACCGCAAGACGCACACTGGGCTTTGTACCACTCGGATCAGTTCGCTGCATCCAACGAGGGAGGAGTTCGCTCAATCCACGAACCGGGAAGAGTTCCCAAGCACACGTGCCACACAGCAAGGTACAATACCGTGTTCCTTCCTGGTATTGAAACAAAGGGACCGGATAATTCTACCATAGCACCCAGCGAGACATGAACCTCCTCCGCAACATCTACCCAAACCTGAGAGCACCTGGACCTTCCACTCTACATCTACCCCAGCCACCTCCTCGTCACTGTTGCGACTGCTGAAAGCTTCCGTGCCTTGCAATCGAGTATCAACTCACCTCCGATCACAAGCTGTAGGCTTCAGAAGACAGACTGAGCAATTGCTGCCAGGTTTACAGCCAACAGAAACTCGGTACGAAAAACCTGATGCAAGCAGAACCCAGCGAACAAACTTTTGGACTTTCGCTCTTTATGAGACCACTGATGTCCCAAGGACAGAGGTGAAAAATGACAAGAGTTGATTTACATCGATAGAACAGAATGATAATCCTGTTGCTCCTGCTGTTTTCAACACAACCTTGTGATTGATCCCACCTTAAATCCACAAGACAAACAGTACCGGAACATGCAAGCGAGAAACAGAAGACCCGCCCGCACATCTCCACAAATGGTGGGTGATTCTTACGATCACTACAGCACTTCTACCACGATTGCTCAGAGACAACCTCCTATCTACCCCCAAGTCACAGGAACACTCCCCTGCAACAGAGAACATGGTACACCGCCGTTGCATAATTTCCGATGGAGCAGGCCCAATACCAGAAAGCTCATTTACATAATTGCAAAGAGACCCCAGAAAGGACACGGTCCCTAAACCGCACATACTTTTACACTGCTGCTCAGAGTGCCCTGTCCTATACAACTGAGGCAACGTGATACCACTTGCCTCACTCTATCCACCGGAAGAATCTGTACATGAATGCCAGGTGCGAGTGCTTCCCCGTCCATTTTTTGGCCTCTCTTCTTCACCCAAAGGTTGTCACAGAGATACCAACAGCAACGCAACCAGAACACACACCGGCCTAGAGTTCTGCTGACAAACAGTCCCCTGATGGTCGCTAAAAATGCCATCTCGCGCACTTACTTGGAAAGACCATTTGTATATATGTGCATGCTGTGAGCAGTACACAGTTCCGTCAAACACTATCATGTCGCATCACTTCGAAAAGATGCTTCCTCACTCCTAGACCCCTCCCTCTGACAGGTCATAAATACGCAAGAGGAGAATGGCCAAAGCAGTCAAACACTCGCCTGTGCAGCGTGAACTAAGCTGGGGACTCGGTGACCCCTGCATGGGCCAAGGAAAGGCGACGGGGACACAGCACCATCAACTGCCAGCAACTGAAGCAGGTAACCAATCCTTGGCAGAAGTCGAGGCACAGAGTAACTGGTGGGTCATGAAAACAGCACACCTCACACCGTTGACCATGGCAGCAGGCACAGAGGGGTTCATGTGCCACACACGATGCTCTGTAACTTCACCCTGTCGCCTGTTTGGTCAGTGCAAAATCGATATCATCAGGACAAGCACACAACTAGAAGAGACTCAAGACATACCTTCCCTTAATGAAAAGCCAGTGGCCACAATGTGCTCTTCAACTGGCTGCTGGATCCAAGTACATGCGAAACACATGTACACTGGGTCCTTTGAAAAGGCTCACAAGCCAGTTTCCTCAAATTGACGGGACTGGACAATCATTATCCCGCTCATTCCGCCTGAGTAAGAGCACAACACCTTTCCAGCATGCAGCACAAACACCTCCCAGCCTCCTGCAGACACACATGCACACTGGTTGCTTGAAAATGCTCAATCAAGTGAATTTCGTTATGTAAACGGAGCACACCTTCCCAGCATGCAGCACAATTACTTACTTTCAGGCTCCTTCATACAAGGACAAACCTCCGCAGCCACGGTTGCGCAGTTTACATCCCCGTATCGAATGGATGGATGCTGCACAAATTGTGTGCAGGAAGACTTGACCAGCATTGCACCAACACCATCCAGCAGCATTGTCAGGTCATGGAGCCACCAAACATCTGTGAAAAGCAGACGGGCAAAACAAATTCAGTTAAAAAAAGACTTTAAACTAAGCTCCTCTCAAGACGGACAGCGGTCTCACCTGTCTCGACCTCCATGGACCTACCAACTTTTTCCAGCTCTCGCTGCAACACAGATATAACATCTTCTATGGATTGCTTGTACATGGGCATATAATGCTCACGTACCATCGTCCTGGACAGTCTTATCCTCCCGTATAATTCCCGCGGTGTCACATAACACCCAAACAGTCTCTCAACGGAGGGCTGAGATGGTGGTTCGGGGTCAGTCACCTCTGATGGTTCTGTGGCATTGTCCTGCACTGGTCCCGGTGGGGATTTTGGAGGCGCATCCTTCAGATCACACGCCACGTCCATGCATACCAAGTGAAGGATTCGACCAGGAGGGAAGAACCGCCGGTCATTGCTACGCCAGTCGGACGTTGAAGAGCAATCTGCAACATCCCTGGTGGAGATGGGTGGCCCTGAAGACCCTTCATCTGCGATTTCAGCCTCTGCTTGAGCCATTTCCCGCACCATCTCCATTTCCTCGGGGGAGCGGACGGAGCTTTCTCCCCGCATTTCCAATTCTGCCTGCAATTCTTTCCACACGTAGGTCGGCAGCACATCAACTCCAGATTCACAGCACTCCCCCGCCCTCCTATCTCCTACTTCGCGTTCCCCTGCAAGCACCATCTCCTCGACCATTCGGATTTCATCCTCATTTCTTTCAAACTCTGTGGACAATACACCTTCCTCCATCACTTCGCCGGTAACAAGAGTCGGCGATTCAGTGGCCAGCTTCTGGACCCCGTCCCCGCTTGCCTTCGTGGCAGCAGCAGCCCCCGGGATCTCTGGCACCAGGTTGTCCCTGTTGCCAGATGCGAATTGCTCTACTTCAGCAGCTGTTAACAATGCATGCTCATTCGAAGTGGTGCCCCTCGAGGCACAACCTGGTGATGCAAGCGGCTCCGTAACCTCCTCGACCTCCTTCGACATACCGCCAGTTGATGAAGTTGACGAGTCTTCAGCGACAGTTGAAGACGATGGCGAGCTACGCCTCCTTGGCGGAATGCAGGAAAGTGCAAGGAGGGGTACAGCGCGGGCCATTGTTCTCGCCTTGAGTGCCACCGCCTGTGTTTTACACACAGTACAGCACATAGACAACCAAAAAATGAGTTCGGGCACAAATGGTTAAGGCAACAACCTCATATTAGAAGAAAAAACAGAAAATTCCAGCCAGAGGCAACCGGAAACAGGTTAGCCAAAGGCAATTATCATGAAAACAATCAGCCAACTATCTAGGGATCACGGTTATGAAAACCAACCACCCCCTCTCCTCTCCCCCATCCCACACACCTTGTGTAAGGAAAAGCAATCGGGATCCACATTGTCCTGGCACCTCACATTGCAAAAGTTCCCAGCTGGCAGTCAGAAAAGCGAGTCATTTGGTCGTCATCGCAGAAACTGATGAAGAAAAAAAATCAGAAGGGAGGTCATGCATGGGTCTTGGGAGCTGAGGAAAGGAGGGGAGAGGGCCAAGGGACAAGAAGAATCTTCAAACTCCAAAACCATGATTCAACCTATGCCAGGCCAGGCATTCAGCATGCCCTGAGTTTTCAAGATTGACATCAGGATATCCAAATCAGGCAGCAAGCAGCCTGGGCAACCTACCCGACAACTCAATGCCCCATTGCCCATAGTGAAGTTTTGACGTCGGTTACCCGGCTCACCCGCCCATGCATCCCTGCAACCTGCCTGGGCAGACAGCCCGCCTGGGTCGCCCAGATGATCGGAACACATGGAAGATTCTTTACGTAAAAAGGAAAAAAGAAAAAGCTTCTTCAAACAGAGTTACGAACAAATAGGGCAAGGTAGTGCATCGTTCCAAAAGGGAGCGTTCAGTGCTACACATGCCCTTCCAAAAGGGAGCGTTCAGTGCTACTACACATGCCTTCACTGCTATTCCCTTCTTCCCCCCTCCCCCCTGGTACTGAGACTCCGATGGCTATGTAGAAAAGTAAACAAGGAGAACTGCTAGAACGGCCTCAAACATTCAACGATCTGCATCAATCAATGTTACAATGGCGATAATTTTTAGGGACTCGTATGACGAGCCCAGTCTCCGGCAGGTTGACCTTACTCACACCAACCTTACACTCCTGGCAGACTTACGGCCCAAAGCCTTGACAGGACTGGAAGTAGGTTTGAGAGACTGTCTTCCCGTATCTGGACTGAAAGTTCGACTCAATACAGCTATAATGACCGGGGGCTCTATTCGGGTGAAGACGGTAGTCTGTCACAGCTATAAAGCGCACTCCGCTCATGCAATAAGCCACGGACGAGCGTGTTTCACTTGGAAGCCTTATTGCATGTTTTATTCTTCTTCTTCTTTTTCTTCTTCTTCTTCTTCTTCTTCTTCTTCTTATTATTATTGTTATCATTATTTAGAGAACGATTTTATTCTAGTCATCTGGTTGCATCTGGTTTTGAATTCGGATCCGCATGTCAACAGTTCATGGGTGTACCAACTGAGCTAGGCTCATTGGTAGTTTTTTTTGTCGTCTTTTTTTTTTTTTTTTTTTTCCAAAACAACACAACCCCTTCTATTCTGGAGGGCATCAGTCCGGTTACTTGTCACTGGCAAGCAAGTTTTTCACATCCATCCAAGGGAGGGAGAAGATCAGACGAAAGAAAAACAACGGCCCCGCCCTTGTGGTACTAGACATCTATCAAGAGGGGCACTGCTACAGAACATCCCACCCCACAAGCCTTGGCCTTTCATAGGGGTTGGACTGCAGGCCGGGAAGCTTCCCAACAGCACCCAGTCACACGACAAGTCAAAACCCAGAAAGGCCAGGCATGAGGGGAACGTCTATGGCAGTTCCTCCGGCTGGCTGTCAATCTACTGATTTCATACTTCTGAGGCAAAAAAGAACTATTGCTTCCGTACCTCTATCGTCTTTATAACCACTACGATCCCCATTACTCGTTCTCTACTATTGGCCCTATTCTATTTGAGCCATTCAAATTGCATATTCCTTCCTTGTTTCAAATATCAGCCCCTGCTTGTATACCTTCATGGGCCTCCTTAGTTCCACTCCCTCTCGACTCTTCCTAAGATCTTTGCACCTATCCCTCCTGTGTCCACCCTAGCATATGTGTCTATGTTAGAATCCTTGGCCATCCACTCTGTTGTGTTCTTATCATAGTCTCACCCCCTTACCCTTCCCCTCCTATTCCCCCCCCCCCCCCTTCTCTCCATCATATGCGGTCACTCAAGGGTCAGGTTACACAGAAAAATGATTTGTATCTGCCAAGGTGAGTGGCCACCCCCCCCCCAGACTGGCCGAGAGTGGTTTTGGTGTACACGGTGGACACACGACTAAAAGTAGTGACTGTATCCAATTACAAGGCACAAACAGATATCACAGGCAACATAGCTTCCACATGCTAGGGGGAAATCACAGTTACACAGGCACTGCAATTCCAGCTCCTCTCTACAGAGAGAACATGCCATATGAGGTGGCATGGAGAAGTACATGGGGGATCAGCAGTGTGAAAACAAAGACTTTTGGATCATACACTCACAATGGTCACGGTGGAGGGAATGCTACATCTTAACCGAACATCAGCCGGGTCATCACAGAGCAGCAGCGAGCAAAGGCTTTCTCGGACCTGCAATTGTGCTATGGACAGGTGATGACAGGGCTGGATCCAGACTAAGGGTGTTCCGCAACTGCAAAGTATGATATGCCACTGCTTGCCCTGTGGGTGCTGACCATTGGGTGTGCTGCACTGCAAGGGGTTCAAGCGACATCTCTTTTCAACCTCAGGCTGTTGCATCGATTCTTCGTACAAGCAAGAGTGGATAAAGTTTCGTTAGAGGTGCGACCCATGTAGGTGTGAGGATTGAGCCCTCAAGAAGGGGCCTTGCCATGATGTACATGTTCTGGGCTAAGGCCCCAGCAAGCCTCGTGCCCGCCCTAAGTGAAGGGGCCTTGCCATGATGTACATGTTCTGGGCTAAGGCCCCAGCAAGCCTCGTGCCCGCCCTAAGTGAAGGCGGGCCAGCAAATCAACAAGAGCCCTCTGTGCCAACATTTCACGAAGTGGGGTCCATTCAGTTGCAGCACGCCAGTTGGTTGGAGTGCACCGAGTCTCGGATTTCAGCAAATGCTGAAAGCMCAGGGCCTCTGAGTTAGTTAGGCCCTGGGCACTCGAACGTGAGGCCGACAATGCATGCTGGGTATAGAGGCCGAAAATGCCAAAGGGAAATCGGCCCACTATCTGAATCTGGCCGCAGGCCTTGATGAAAGAGGCGCAACTGCATTGCCCCGGGGCCCAACTGTATCGGGTTGGCTTCAGCCTCTGGGTCCTGGTCACAGGCTGAAGGAAGGCCGCCCACACGCTGCACTGGCATATAGGCAAGCAGGGCGAGTGGGGAGGGATCTTGGCCATTGCGGGCAATACCGGCACGCTGCGCTAATGCGAGCGGCTGCTGCTGCTACGCTGCGCTAAGAGAGGTGCAAGGCAGGCCAGCGCTAGGCGGTAGGGCGCTGCCTGCACACCAGGGCACTGGCGGCCATAGCCGGGCCGYATGAGGGTGCAGTGAGGGTGAAGGGCGAAGGTGGTCTTCGGAGGTGAAGGGCGCTGTGTGGGTAACAAGGGAGAGTGTGGGGAAGAGGACACGTACCTGGTGGAGGTGGAGGTCGGCATTGGTGTTGACATCATCACTCGCTGGTAGTCAAGTTGTCTGGTTGCTTTTCATTGCTGTAGTTGTAGGATAGGCTGTAGAGTAGATAGGGCGCCTGGCACCATTCACAAGAGAGAGCTACATTTGGGTTATGCTGTTGGTGTTGCCCTGTTGGGCATGGACATTGACTCACGACTCTTCTGTATCATTCTCAATTGGATGGTTACTCGGTTCCATCGTACTATCTGCTTTGGCTTTGACTTCAGTGTGATTTTGCATTCTGGATTTCTGTGCTTCGTCCATATTCATGTTCCTTGCAATTTGGTATCGGATCTGGTTTGATCGCCACTTACCTTTGGCACGCTGGCGTTAAACAGACTTGGTGCGTTGACGATGCTTCTTCGCAGTGGGTACTTGTGACGTCAGGCCACTATAGGTGCACGCCCTGGGTAGAGAGGGGTGCACCGGAAGGCTAATACGGCAGTGTATGCCGTGGGTTACATGCGGAATGTATGATTGGTGATGAGAGCATGCTGATGTGGCATTGGACTAAGTGCACTGCATTGCGTTGTGGGTGGTACCGAGGTCATGACCGGTCATCAAATGCAACATCAGCTCAATTGGTGAGAAAATCTGTGGTTGGGGGCAGCTATCTCCAGGTATGTTGATCCCTTAAATCTAACTTCTCAATCTCTTCTTACCGTGAGGAAGTGAGTCCAACTTGAGAGTCCTCTCCTTGGTGAGGTGTCGTGAGCGCGCTACCTTGAGAAACGACAATCTTCCCGGAAGCATCTGGAAGGAGAAAGGGCGGTGCCTCTGAAGGGCCCTGGTCGAAGCACTGGGTCACGGTCACCATGCCAACCCAATGGGAGTAGGTCACGCATGCGATGGCTGCTGTCCATTAAGGCACTTTGCTGCGCCAAATAGAAGTCTTGCCAAGTGTGCCAGCCTTGTATGAGACGCTTACCAGACCGTCTATAAACATTTCTGGTTGGGTACTCGGAATGATTCTGGCTGTGATCGTCGTCCTGACTGCAACGTTAAAGAATTCCTGAAGAGATGGGGGCGCTCTTAATAATCCTCCTGATCAGCCAGATCATCCAGGTGGAAGGCTCGTTTCCGTACGAGGGTAAATAAGAGTGGGCTGGCTGGCTTACTTGGCTTTGACTTGGGCACAGGGGTGGGCTGAGATACACACGAACACACTGCTCTGCTCAATGATGCTGTTCGGTATGTCGGATGGAGGGGAGGGTAGGTTCCAATTGGTGCTCAACTGAATACACAACTATACCCACTCATCATACATCTGCTACATTGTCTTTTTGTATCTTTGATTAGTGGGTTGACGGACTGCTGACCTCACAGACAGATTAGTGTAGGACTGTTGTATGCTACCATAGCCAGTTCTAACTAAATGCTGCTGTAAGAGAACTTATCAGGATACATCTAGACTATGTAGACAATCTGATGTGAATGTTGTAGACATGCCACTTGATTCGGTATAGTAGGAACTCGCCGGACACAACTATTTATAGAAAATTACGTGCCGGTCAGATACATGCTGCGGTAGGATTCCATTAGGGGATTTTAGAGTAGACACTATCTATCTAACTAATGAGTGGGTTAGACCCTGTTGACGATAGAGCTGACGGTAGGAGACTAACACGTGCACAGGAACTAAGGGTACCGCACGTGTTCCAGGCCTTGGAGCCGGGAGAAGAAAGACGGCTACGTAGAGCCCGTGCTCTAGCAGCGGGGATAGCAGCAGCAAACGCAGCAGCTAGAGAGCAGGCAACAGCAGCCAGAGCAGCAGCAATGGCTAACGGCGCAAGCTCTGCTGCGTCATCGTCTGCGTCCTCGTCAGGGACTAATGGGGGCCAGTTGGGAATGCCAACGAGTTCCACAAGTTCCTCGGGCACTTCCAGTTCCACAGGTTCTAGACAGTCTTCTAGTCAAATGGCGGGCGCGCAGTTCAGCCCGTTGACCCCGCGTGAGATGGAGCTCAGAGAGATCCAGCAGGTCGAGAGGCTCCGCCGTAAGCTGGAGCAGGACCTGAAAGATGCTACCGATAGAGAAAATGCGATGAAAACTAGAGCAGCCAGGCTTGAAACTTGAGGCTGACAAGGCTGAATTAGAGGGCTTGGATGAGTCACTGCACCCTCATGCGGCCCGGCTATGGCTGCCAGTGCCCTTGTGCGCAGGCAGCGCCCTACCGCCTAGCGCTGGCCTGCCTTGCACCTCTCTTAGCACATGCAGCAGCAGCCGCTCGCATTAGCGCAGCGTGCCGGCATTGCCAGCAAATCAACAAGAGCCCTCTGTGCCAACATTTCACGAAGTGGGGTCCATACAGTTACGCACGCCAGTTGGTTGGAGTGCACCGAGTCTCGGATTTCAGCAAATGCTGAAAGCCCAGGGCCTCTGAGTTAGTTAGGCCCTGGGCACTCATTCTCGCAGTTGGTTGCTGCATCGAATGGCATGGCATAGACAGACGTCACAGGCTACGTCGCCCCTACATACTAGGAACACAGAGGCACGTCAACCATAATTATATAGGCATTGCTGTTCCAGCCCGTCTACAAATTGGCCATCACATGTCAGCATGCCGTAACAACAAAAACTTGCATGGGCCATGACTTCACAATCCTCACAACACAAAACATGTGAATAACGGGCTAACTGAATCTCGGGTGGGCCATCACAAAGCGGCATCGAGAGTGTGTTTGTGAGGGTGTCTTTCCTTGCCACCTTTTATTGAAACAAGCCAAGATTGACTCGCTTTTCAACAGGATTCAGATAAGTGATCTGTTCATTAACAATTACATGTGGGTACAAGCTTTCCAACAGGATTCAGATAACTGATCTGTTCATTACAGTTAGCTGTGGGTACAATGTGTAGCATTCATTCATGTGGCCTGCTTTTCTTTGTTTTTTTCTGGGGTGTGCAAATGTGTAGGCCCTTGGCCACTCGGCAACCTTTCCTACCATTCACTCGCATGTGCCTGTCTTTCTTCCAGGAGTGCGCAATTGTGCAGGCTCCTGGCCCCTTGGTGCCTTCCCCTTACTTGGCATTTTTTTTCCAAGACAGGTCAAAATGAACCTACTTGGCTGCACAGCTGCTTCACCTGCCTTTGAAAAAAAGAGATTATCTATATTTAGACCAGCCTATATCGACCTGATTTCTACCAGTATTTCAACTCCTGACCTGTCTACTGACAGTTACATGCGAATGCCATTCAGTCAGAAAGGCCGAGATTTTTTCTTTCACAGAAGCACCATGCCGGGCCACCAGTATTCAGTCAGCAACCCAACTTTTCTGCCACTGTGATAATTCATAATGGGCACCACCACTTGATGAAAACACATCATGCACACGCACCATCGAGACTTCAGGAACAACCATACATATGGCCCAAATAGAACCCAGAACACGGCCATTGAAAACCGCATAATTGTAATACATGGTCACCCAGATCAACAGCAAACTGCATACACTCAAGAGTAACCAAAAGCGCCCTGGCTCAGTTGGCAAGGCTCGCAGGTAGCATTCACGAGGTCTTGGGTTCAATCCCCATTGCCCTCATGTACCTTGATGAGCATGCTTGGCACCTGCCACCTAGAGATAGACCACTGGATCCCCCGATCGGCATGGAGAAGAGTCTGCTGATGTTCGTAAAAGAGGGGGCCGGAGGGGAGGCGCAGGGATTGGTCCTGTTGGCATGGTCTGTGATTCTACCGGCTGTCCCCTGGCCGGTATCACCCAATTGCAGGTCGGGTGCAGCTCTCGTGAACACCGTTGTCGCTGCTACGGGGCTCCCTGTAATACTGTGCCTAGGAGTAGTAGTAGGTAGGTCGTGTAAGGTGAAATTGAGGGAAGAACCTGGCTTAGCTAAAAACAAATTAAAAAAATAGCATGCTGTGAGGCCGGCACTCTCACCCAGTTATAGATCGGTAGATGTGATCACAGAGAATTCTCAAGGTAGTTGGCAACACTCAGAGAGGCTGAGACGGGATCGCAGTCGAGATCAATTTGCTGCCATAAGCTCTGAACACTGCGTCCACTTCAGCATTGAGCACAGGGCTCTGTCCGAACCAAAACAAACCACAGAGATTTGCATGGACGTGTCCCCCATGGATGTAGATACTTCCAAGAAGGTCAATCTAAGACCGATTGCACGTGGGCAAAGAAAAGGGGAGTGTGGGGGCAGGCACTCGACACATATTCGCCCCGCAAGTGTGGTAAGTAATAAAATACCAGTGGCAGATCCATCAGATGCTCAAACATATATCTCTCCCCCACACTGACACCATCCTCCATACACCTGTGCGGCTGCAAAACTCCATAATTATTAATTACCCAGTATCATCCATGCTAACAGTCACATAAGTGATAATTTTTATTTATTTTTCTGTTTATTTTTGTGAAGTTTAATTAACACGGATAGATGTATTATCAATTAATAAAGTAATTATATTGTACTATATAAATAATTATAATACATGGCTTGTTAGTTTCTTTATTCGTTTTCAGTTTTAGCCTCTGACAACTGCATCATCGACAACAGAGTGACAGTCGAGCAACACCTCATAGGGAGACCTTCTTGATCCCACTGTTTCGCAGATCAAGCGCACATCCAATGGCAGAAAACTGCAGCAAACAATTACCCAGCCATAGACAAACAATGGGGTGGGAAAGCACCTGTACCTGTGTCCTGCTTGAAACTGGCTTAAGAAGTGCACCAGCTCCTGCGACCCCTGTCCTTGCAACCCGACCCACTTCCGAACGCTCATACCACCCTTTGGATGCACGACCAAGATTCGACAGTTGGCCACGAAGAGCAGCAGCTCCACTCATTACCATTCTCGTGATCCTTAATTTCTCCAGCTGCTCCCTCAGATCATTGACCCAGGCTGATGCTGTTACCTGCCACGCATCAAGGCAGCACAAGGCAGTCACACTCTACTTAATAGTCTTATACGGCAAGCACAGCCCCATGCTCTCAACAACAAGCATCGATCGTCTTCTCTTCCATCAGTCTTCTCTTACAAGCACCGTTTTGCACAAAGTATTCACCCTACAGTTCAAGGTCGAAAGACCCTGCAATTACCAGAGAGTTTTACAGAGCATCAGCACTAGTAAAGCACCACACTAAAGTGCACCCCTGAAAATGTAATGGGATGGCCTGCCCCACCCCTAGGAGAATATTAAGTCGACAAGAAAAGACAAATTGGGGCCATGCTCAACAGCAGCCCCCCAAAATTGTGTGTGCTGTAGAACGTTACCAGAACGACCCCTCGACCACAGGATGTTAACACGCTGAACGCGGGGCTGAACAAGGGGAAGGGGGAAGGAGTGGGGAAGTGGAGGAGGGAGGGGGAGGGAGAGGAGGGAGGAGGGAGGAAGGAAAGCATCAGGGGAAAAAGGACCATTGTGTCCTCGGTACTATGTTCGTGTCTGTGTGATATCTCGACTGTATGCATGGTATCTTTTGGATCCCATACAATCTTGATGAGGTTGCGCTGTGTTCAAGAAAACACATGTTTACGACAGTTTCTTTTTTTTCGTGTTAAAAAAAGACACTATTCTTCTCTAAAACTCTTTCATCACATCTCTAATTCTTTCATCTCTCAAATTCTTTCAAATCACCTTCCCCTACCTACCTGCGACTACTCCTAAGGCTATACAGGGGACCCCTGCAAGCATAGCTTTTTGCCTCTCGCGATGAACGGGGATGCATGTCGCCCCTTGCCCTGGTGGTTTAGGGTAACGGTTGGGGCCACTGGTGGGGGCCCAGCTAACACAAAGAATGAGCAATTTTGCCAATGGCTGTGCCTCCCTTTTCCGTCTGCCCCCACCCCCATCTCACACTCACACCTGTTGTGGGGAAAGACCCTACTAATACCGTGCAGGAGGATCCAGCTGACTATCTTGGTTGGTTGGCACCAAGCGTGCCCAGGCAGTTGTGGGGATTGAACCCATGACCTCCTGAATGCAACTTGCGTGCCTAACCAACTGAGTAGGGGAGCTTTCTCCCGACTTGAGGCGAGCTCCACAATTTGCGAAGTAAATCAAACTTTCCCAGAGATTAGACTATCTAAAGACATTCCAATTTCCCACCCACCACAAAAGACGAGCATTCAATTAATAAACTCACCTCTGCTCTCAAATCATCAGCCGAAGCTGCTGAAAACGTTGGTACCAGATCGCATCCATTGATCACAGATGTCACAAAAGGCTCCCCTGATTCTGCAAGGTCCCATGTCATGCACGCAGCTGCACAGTACCCACCACCAACAGACACACACACACATTTTTTTAAGAGAACGGAAATGCGGGCCCTGAGAACGAGCAACAGCATAATAGAATTAGGAGGATTTCGTCCAACAAAGGCCCACAACTTCTCGAGCTTGAACTCTTCAGCCACTCCACAGAAAGACAGCAAACACAAACCGAAGGCAGAAATCATCCAGGCCGGAAAAATACCTGGGGCAAATGCGACACAGCGAGTGTGAGTAAGGCCAGCCTTCTCTCGAAGAATGTAGGTCAGCAAAGCTGCAGTCCCACCACCTAGAGAATGCCCAACCACCTGCAGTGTATCACCAGAAAGCAGCAACTGTCAGCAGCTGTCATCCATAACCACACCGACACATTCTTTTTTTTACCCCTTCAATTGATGCCACGCAGTGTAGCAGTGTATTCTCTTCTAGACAACGAAGGTCTGTTTTGTGGCTGCATTTCCCTCCTTGTTTCCACTTGCTGGACAGCGCGGGGCATTACAACTCAATAACCACAGCAGCAAAATCAGCAAGGATGGAGATGTGTTCTTTGGGGAGAGAAGGCAAGTTTCGGTCCACTAGCAGTGTCGCAGTGTATTCTCTTCTAGACAACGAAGGTCCGTTTTGTGGCTGCATTTTCCTCCTTGTTTCCACTTGCTGGACAGCGCGGGGCATTACAACTCAATAACCACAGCAGCAAAATCAGCAAGGATGGAGATGTGCTCTTTGGGGGGGAGAAGGCAAGTTTCGGCCCACTAAGGCGAGTGATAGGAGCACTCGCACTTTATTTCCGGGCCCCTTACCTTGCTAGTTTTGGTTTTCCTTACTCCTGTGGAAAATAAACCAAGGATGAAGATGTGTTAATTTACCACAGGAATAAGGAAAAACAAAACTAGCAAGGTGATAGGCAGTTTCACATGCTATCAGACGGCCTCAAGATATCCCCAAAGGAGGAAGTGGTGGGGACTGAGTGACAAGTACACAAATGAGTCACGTCGCACATCAAGAGAAAAACTACTAGACAGGTTCCAGCCATTCCTGCACTCTACGCAAGTCACCTCAAGTGTGCAGCAAGAAAATACGAGGATTATACGTCCATGAGGCACCACCAATTCAAAAGTGGTGACAGTCATACTGGACATCCAGATCTCGTAATGAACACGGCAAATACACACATCAGTACGAGATGAGAGAGATCACATTATACAATCCCATATATTTGCAATGCACGGTCCAGCGCACCGAAAAACCAAAAAAATAAACATTAAAGCAAATACATATTTCCGAAAAATCAACAAAAAATCAGAGGTCCTTTCTCTGGCTGGAAACTCAACTGACGTTTTCTTGAGGACATCAACAAAAAATCAGAGGTCCTTTCTCTGGCTGGAAACTCAACTAACGTTTTCTTGAGGACAACTACAGAACATTTCTTGTTTTTTCTTGAATTTTCCTGCATGCACACAATGTTCCCAAAGCCTGTCAAACTGCATGCACACTATGCTCCCGGAGCCTGTCAAACATTGCATACAATCCCGCTTACTAACACACTAAAAATGGAAATGGCGCTTTACTCTGCAGGAACCTACAGTCCAAATTTTGGAAAGCTCCTTCAGTGCCTTCCATTACGAAACTCAGTGACAAACGCCAACTCCCTAGGGACATCAGACGTGGGTTCAACATAGATGAGCTTGCACTGTGACCATAACCCCCCACATAGTAGGTTCACACTGTTTCGGTTATGGTCGCAGTGCAAGCACGTCTATGTTGAACCCACGTCTGTGACCATAACCCCCACATAGTAGGTTCGCACTGTTTCGGTTATGGTCGCAGTGCAAGCACGTCTATGTTGAACCCACATCTGATGTTAGCACCCACATAGTACGTTCGCACTGTTTCGGTTATGGTCGCAGTGCAAGTTCGCCCCGAAACATAGATGTGGGTTCAACATAGACGAGCTTGCACTACTGAATTAATCAGCAAAACTTGGTCACACCACCCAAAGGACTTTCCTGCATGTATCTGATCCTGAATACATCCAGACTTTCCAAAGTGAACGAAAACGCCAGGATCGTAGCCTCCGCCTCTGACTTCCTTCAACTCCTGCACTACAGCAACCCACCAGACCAACCCACCTGGACCCCAAGAGCACAGGCAGGCTAATAATTCATGTAGGTGTAGTCTCAGACTCCAATGGCTGTTTCATCTAGTTATTCATGACAAGCTGATGTTGACCACTCGACTAGGCCATGAACATCTGAGCGTAGCAAAGGACAGTGTCACGACTTACTTAGCTGGTTTCTTGTGGAAGAATATACCACCCCTCACTCCTACCTAAGCTAGCCTCTGGGAATTAAAGCCTGTCCTGTTCCTGCTTCTCCCATCTGAGTAGCCACCTAACAGTCATGCTGTCCGCTACAACCTCCCAGCCATAATGGGGAGGAGCATGAGGTGAGTGCATGCTGTACTTTGGACTTGCCGGTGGAAGAGGAACTCGATGCTCCCCAGATTGGATAAGGAGCCAGACCGATAAGGTTCTGTTTTTCATTAATAAAAAAAAAAAAGATTGTTCCCCGTGCTCGAGTAGTGGTTAATGGAAGACCCAAAATTCTGGGTTTTTTTGCCGCATCACTACAAGCAATGTTGTCGAGAATTTTGCGAACAAACTATGTAGGCTCATAATACAAACATTAAAAATAAAAGAAAACAGGGCAAAAAAAAAAAAAAAAAAAAAAAAAAAAACAACTCAAGAGCAGTATAAAACAGGGCTGAACATTCGGTCCCACCGGGGCCCCTCCCCCCACCAGAACCGGTCCGGTAGTACCGGCCGGTGGACTGTGCCGGTTCCCCCCCGGTGGCATTTCGCGCAAGTGGATCGCGGAGGGGTTTGAATTTTTTTTTGGGCCTGGAGGCCTCCATGCACGTCGTGGACGCCTCCCGGCCCCGAAAAAATTAAAACCCGGCCCGGTAGGCCTGCCAGAAGGCTGAAAAACTGGCGGCCTATCTGGGCCGTCGATCTCGTGAGATTTGCGGCCCATATAGTCCACAGTTTTTTAACATTCAGGCGGGAAAGCGCCTGAAGTTCGCCTTGTCGACTTGCCGAACTGACGCCAGCGATCGGCCCCGCCACCCCGTCTCCAACCTCCAGCCAGCCTCCAGCCTCCAACCAGTCACTTCGACACTTCGTCGAAAGTGAACGAGGTTGTGACTGCGTTGCACCCCTCCCACGTCCACGCCGGCCTCGGATCGCCATCGCCCCGCCCCGTCGTCCACCGTTGAAGGTAAGTGACCTAAACTTTCTTCTTCTTCTTCTTCTTCTTCTTCTTCTTGCTATCTTCTTCTTCTTCTTCTTCTTCTTACTATCTTCTTCTCCTTCTTCCACTTCTTCTTCTTCTTCTTCTTCTTCTTCTTGCGGCAGAGCCGAAGTTTCCCATTAAAATGTGCGCGCTGGGGTAACCAGCGGGTGCGTAGAAATCACAGAGAGAGAGAGAGAGAGAGAGAGAGAGAGAGAGAGAGAGAGAGAGAGAGAGAGAGAGAGAGAGAGAGAGAGAGAG